GTAAGGTTGGGGTTAGTCCCCAAAAAAAGCTATGCCGTTTTCGCTACCCGTACCCATAGCTAACCATAAATATGAGAAGGAGAGGCATCAGGAACTTGTGTGGCTACCGATGAACCAGCCAAGGTGCCTCCGCCCACAAATGGTCGTGATGCATCAATATCATTTCTGTCTGCCCTCTCTTCTCTTACAAATTCGTCGCAAACTCTTCCGCTCTCTCTCCCACTCCTTCAGATTTACCTAAAGTTTTTTCGTCACAGTCTTACAATGAGCAAACAGTGAAGAAAAACTTATGCACATTCACACTAAATCCCCTCCTCCTAAATAACTGTCCTGCCCGGGCTAGCTGAGTACACATTTGGGGTGACATTTTCACGAATTGTACTCGCTTCAACAAATATGTTGGGCTGCGTTCATACTTTGCGACTGGGCGTATTGAGCGAAAAAGAAGGTATAGGTATCGATCGACTCCAATCGTTAGCGTCTTGGGAGAATCGGCGTTTCGGCAGAATCAGCTTTCGAGCGTTCTGGGAAAATCGACATCCTCGGCGCCGATCAGTACCTATGCTTCTAGGCATTAGAAAACGCGCACCCTCTACTCTATCAGTACACAGGCGGACCGCGCCAATCGATCCCCGCCTGCGGTCGCGTTCGCGTCTATAACCATCTCGAAGTCTGAACGCTGCCTTAGAGACGACAAAAACTGCGAACTTTGTGGGAGATTTGTAATGGCACGATTTCCAGATGTGCACGCAACGTGAAGTCGAAAAGCGAGCCAGTATAGATCAACTGTTCAAGCATCGTTACCTAGCTGAGGTTAGAATTTACCGTATCATCAAAGATCGTGGTGGGGCGGGGGCGGGGATAGAGAGACTTTCTTCCCTATAGAATCTCTAAGCCCCATTGATATTGGAGAGGGCATTCAAAGGACTCCCTGTGCCAGAATTGGGACCAGCGTTATCCGAATAGAGTTGCCGCGCTTACCACTTAGGGTACAGCATCGTTGTGTGAAACACATGAGGGGGAGGGTGGTACTTTCCCGCTGGGGAGGGGGTCGTGCTTGGTCGTTGTTGGGAGAGGGTGGTGGGGGTCGTATGTGGCTCTGAGAGAAATTGGCCGCGTTGGGAAAGAATTTTTTCCGGTTGTTGAGTTTCCGCGGTTTTTCCCGTCGGCCATAGACCCTCCTCCGAGGGAGGGAGGGGTCGTATTGACACCACCATTTCACACATCACGATTACCCTGTTACCACTGATTCTACCATCACGAAGCTCCTTCAACCCTTTCGTACAAGGCAGCAGTCCTTACTCCACTACGGCAATTCTAATCTTGCACAAGGAGTCCTATAAATGCCCCCTCCATTACTATTATGCCGACCCAAGTCTATAGGCATGAGTGACCAATAGGAACACCGGGGAGCCCCGCCCATAGTACAATGCGACCCGTTCCTCTTACCATTAGAGACACATGCCCCGAAAACTGGATGGACAAAGCCGGGCACTTCCTACCGTTGGGGAGAAATATTGCAGAACACGACCCCTCCAACATCCCTCTCCGCTCCTGAACTTTATCCTCCTGTACGACCCCCTCCCCTATCCCATTATCCTATGTACCTTCCTCCTGAGTTCCGTCCCGTCTCGCATTTCCTTCTGTAATAATATGGTAAAGAGGAGGGATGGACCCATGAAGAAGGTATTAGTCCCCGCCCACATGATTATTGAGGAATGCGTCTCAAGGATGTCAAGCCGAAGGTCAAAGAAAATAGCTGCAGGTGAGCGCAGTAGTGCAGGCGAAGCAGACAGCTGGTCAGACGGGGACGACGACGACCGGTACAGGTACGGGTACAGGAACAGGACCTCAACCAAGCGATACCAGCAATAAAGACGATGAGAAAAATCGACTCAAAACTCAGGATTCAGTCGAGAAAAAAGTCGCCAAATAACAAGCCCTTATTAATAATCTAAATACTAAAGTGCTTAAAAGCATATGAAATGAACCAAACACTTCTACTATTCTTATAAACTGTCAATACCGTTACGTTTCAATTGTAAGATAGTGTGCAACGCTTGATGATTGATTAATGACCAGCCGATCAGCTGATTGTCATGTGGGTGCCGGTTAGGAGATCCACGTTCAAATGGCAGCAACTTTATGTGAAAGGCAGTGGGCACGATGGTTGCAGGCGGGCGGTTATCGCCAGCGTCATTGGTGGAAGGGCTGAGAGAAGGCGTTTGATCACACCCTCTTTAGTCCCTCTACCAATGACGTTAACGACAACCAGGCCGCCCCCAACCATCGTACCCACTGATTTTGAATGAATTAGGCACTGGTTCGAATGTCGCGCACGTGCGCGTGGATCTCCCAACCGACATCCTTGTCATCTCATGTCTGTCCGCATAGCGTTAAATGTTACAATCTGATAAAGAATTTGATTAATTCATTCGGCACATTTCAATTACAGTACACGAATTACTGGCGATTCTGATACAGCTCGTCAACCAC